TGGCACTACCTCGGTGCTGTACTGTGGCATGACATAAGGAACAATGGTATGTTTTTTGTAGTGCAATCCATGCTGCTTTCATAATAAATTCCATCACAAAAAGATGGGTCAAGTGTCCTCCCTTGTATTGACTCCCCATCTGACTTGTGGCTGACCAAAAACATTTGATACAAAATACAAATCACTTACAGCAAAGCTGACAACCAATAAGTGATATTACTTCCTCATCCTGTTTTGGAAATCCACAGAACATAGGTGAGAAAGATACAAACACATCTTCCATTTCCACAGTCATGCAACATGCTGCAGCCATCAGGCTGGTTTACTAAGATATAGCAGGAAAATGTTACATGTGGCGAAATGACACTACAAACATGCTGACCTTGCACAAGGCTGGAAACATGGCAAGTGCATGTAGTTTGGTACGATGGGCAATATGTAAGGGGGTCATGGAGCTGCTGGTGTACGCAAGGCTCATGATAGAAATACTATTAAGTGCTATCCAAGATACCAACAATAATTATTTTCCATCTTTCTCAGCACTCAGCATCATACGCAAGTTGCAGTGACTACAACATTATTGACTTATGAGCGATGCTTGCCTGCATATAAAATTTGTGAGGACAGTGCAATGTGCATCAGTAATAACACAGCCTCACAATTTCATAATTCTTTAGGGAAAACAATTTTGCAAAGACATACAATGTGAGCCTTTACTGAGCATATGCATTAATGAGCTGTATGCACTTGCCCCTGCTGCCAAAATGAATTGCTTAGATAATGACCCACACTGGATTAATTACATACCATAATGCCTCAATAGGTTCAAAATGTTGGCAAGATCATAACAAAGTACCAGCTTGCCTTTGTACACCCCTGCAACATAAATGCTAGTGCCTCTCTTAGGTTACAGGGTTCCTTCATCATGTTCAGACTCAAGCATAAAAAGGAGGCAGGTATCAGCATATAACATATTTTGGAGAGTCAGTAGACATAAAGACTACCAAAACAATGTTCTCACAGAGGTACATATCTCGCACGCACATTCCCCATCACATCAAGATCAATACAAGCCACTTCCACACACCACCAGTGAGCACACACATTTCAAGCCCCTGATTCATCTTCTTTTGTCAAATAGGTGTGATCTCACACCTGCACAGCTCGTGGAACTATAAAATCGCAGGTTTTCTCGCCATTTCCGCACAGATTTTCAGTCATAACGCAATTTCACCGCGACCTCCCTTCGAAACAAAGTCCCAAAAGGGGTTCATAGTAATACAGCGCAAGAGGTTTCTTCCAACAACAAAAACGCCAGCAGGGGAAAAACAAAAGATTTGCCATCGCATCTTGCTTTGTATAACTGTCGGGAGAATGCCCATTTTTTGGTGTTGTCCTTTTTTGCACACAGGGGCGTTCTTTTTTATAACATTGACCTGTAGCCTACAAATACGGGAAAATGACCCGTTCACGAGTGCCGCGCAACCTGAAAGTGCTTACGTTTACGTTTGCGACACGCATCCAGCATCGAAATCTTGCTAACAGCCAATCATCTTCCGCGCATTGCCTCACACGTGCTGCATCATCGCTTTTGCGAATGTACCACCGACCATGCTGTTTTGACCATAAGCAGGAAACAGCCCATAGTATGACCGCAATCGCGTGACGTTTCTATGACGTCATTAGTGCCTAAGCAACTTTGGAATAGGCCCCAAATAAACCTTTTCGCACTTTTGCGGGAGTATAACTCAGAAACCAAATCGTTTTGGGCCTTAAAAAGGATATGACCATAAACTGCATCAAAATATTCTCAAGATGTATATTTCAGTTTAAAACGTCATACAAATGTGGATAATTTCCTTAAATTTTGACCTCGGTGTAAAATAAGGACGAGCAAGGTCAACCTCCAGATTTGTGTCCAAAGTGTCCCCAGACCTCCGCATACAAACGCCTTGACTTAGATACCTGTTCTAAGCAAAACGTCATTGGTTTTAGTTTAAGGTTAGTGACCTTTTGGACCTTTAAAAGGTTAAGGTGATAAAACCGTCAAATATCCGCTATGCAATTGCCTGCAGCTGTGAAATGTTTGGCGTTGCTGTGCGGCGCCGTTCGGAAATTTTTCAGCGAGTCGGTTGGGTGCTTTTATTGCAACTGTGATAAATAGGAACATATGCTCTGCCATTTCTGCTTCATGAGCAAACTTAACATGTTTGAAATGGGGCGTACAAGCCATATTGTGGCTGAAGGATAAACACACGTAAAATGTCACCCAGCAAAACTTTTGCTACTATGCACACGTTTGTACAGTGATACATGATATGGCCAATGGGCCTAAATAACGATACATTCTGCGCTGAGAAGACGACACGAAGCTGGGATAAGTCTTTTCGCCGACATGGGGCAACGGACGTCCTTCCACATTGGGAGGAAAGGGGATACTAGCCGCTCCGATCATTTCTTTCCGGTCAATGCCCACGGGGCCAAAGATAAATTTTCAGAAACTTGTGCGCTTTGGCCTTTGCCTCCATTCCGGGTCCACGTGCCCCCATGTCTCGCGGCGGTACAGCACAAGACAGCGAGGAGTTCTTAAAGCAATTATCATTTGTGAGAACGCCAGTTATAAAGCGTAATATTTCTAACCCAATGTTCATTCCAGAGATGTTGTTACGACCTCATTCCTCCTATCAAAAATTGGTGACGCCGCCCTTGCGCATGACGTCACAATATCCGCCGAATCGAGTCACTCTGCGTGGGTGGATTTGGGGTGCACACACCACGCTCGGCTTTGGGTGCAGTATGAGCTTTAAGGCACCTGAGCACCTCACAAATCATTTGATTCAGATATTTAACGCATTCATCCCACAGATTCTTCCAACTCCGGAAACGTCACCGGCACCGTCTGCCTAACACCCAGTTTGTGACCAAACTGAAATGGTACTAGTAGAGCTGTATGCACCGCATACAAGAATGCTGATTATGCCAAGACCCACGGCCACTTTTCGTCAGATCCGCTGGGAGAAATCATGGGAATCTGCCGATGTCTTTCTCGCACGCCGACCGGCCGCGCTTCGTGATGTTAGACCTGAGGACCGTCTTTGGTCCTTCGTGTGCTGGCGAATGACGTCAGGAATTTGCATGGTCTTCACGCCATGAAACACACACCTACTCAAAAATCCCATGTCGGAGAGATGTCGTGCACGGCGCTGGGAAATACCGTGCAGTCCCGCGCGCGCCGCCGTCGCGTCTGCTAGACTCAGAATCGTAATCGGGTATTCCGAGGCTCGTTGAACCCGCTCCCCCGCCCCCCCCCCTCCCCCCGCCCCTCCGACTGGAGAAGACGGTCCCCACCGAGGCCGTCTGGTCGGTATCAGCGCTGGGGATGGGCAAGCACCAAACACTTGCTCCACCGCCCACCGGCCTGTGGTGGAGCGCTGGTGCTGCCCTGCCATTTATTGGGCACCGTTTAATGGATCAGGTTCCAGTTACAATGGCGACATTATTACAAACCAGATCGCGAGCTGGGGACTTCGGGTCAACGAAATCAGGCTCTTAGGGCTTAAGCAGACCGTCCAAGACCATCCGGTTAAGCTTTTTATGAGCTTAGAATCCTTGTAACAGCTGATCGAAGCCTTCAGCATTGAATGGCACAACTATTTGCAATGCGTGCTGTAGCATTGCCAAGGCATTCGGCTGCGAGCCGTTTGATCAGGTAACATCGCTTGTGTCATTCTGATGCCTGTACAAATGGTATATATATATATATATATATATATATATATATATATATGTATATATATTTATGTACATATATATATATGTATATATATATATGTATATATATATATGTATATATATATACATATATATATACATATATATATATATATATATATATGTGTATATATATATAGTATATGATAAATACAAGTAGCGGTCTGCGTTTTAAAATACTTAGTGTGGAGGCGAGGCTGGAGCGGTTCGGTCCGGGGGCAACAGGACACTCGCGCCCGGCGCGAGTGGGCACGGTGACAAGCGGTCAAAAATACCTTTTCTGCCACCGAAAAAATTTGGAACCGTCTGAATTACCAGCTAGGGCCAAATCATTCACAAACCGTTGCAACGTGTCTCTAAATGCAATAAACCACAACAAGCAAAGACAAATGAAGTGCAGTGTGTCATAGCCATCAACCCGGGCTGACAACTTAATATGATACCTTTCAAACAGGGCTTAAACATGGCTTTGTTCAATGCTTGAAAAGTGATACGTAAATTTACGTTAGCGTAACGGGGGGCTTACGCAGACGAGCCAATTATCATGCCAAGGCGCTGGATAAAGGTGGGGGGGGGGGGCCCATCCGTGTGTGAGTCAAGAACAAGCGGGCTGACGAGGGCGCCGGCGTATGTATATGGAAGGAGTGGGCGTGATGAGGGCAGAATGCATGGAGTCTGCATGGATACGTTAAGGCCGAAGGGGCTCCCAGGGTTGTTATCCAGCAGGCTCTTGCCAATGTAATTCGCCACTTGCGTTGGGCTCTTCCCAGTTGGGCGTATCATCAGTGCACTCCGTTCCGTTTTTGCCCCGCTTAAATACGGTCACAAGCAAAAAAGATGGAGGTGGGATACTGCGGTTGAGGGCTCACAACTATGCACGGGGAGCCAGCCGTTCATGGTACCTGACCGGACTTAACGTCCCGCCAATGCCCCGGTCACCCGCTTCATCCTAGCTCTGTGGCTCACATGAGTGTGTGTTGATGTCGGGTGTACCGGAGCCACAACTTGCCGAGTCGTGCGCTAATATCATCTGGCTCGTATGCTGACCAATGGGCTGCTCACTATAACTTCGCTCTTGTGAGGAGGCGTGACGGCAGCAGCCGGCGGCGCACAAACATCCAGCGGCGGCCCGGTAGCAGCGCAGCGCAGCCCCCCCCCCCCCCCCCCCCTCTACAAACACACCACGATCGGCCCCGAGGAGGGAAGAGAGACATAAGGGGCCCACTTACCGCTCGGCGGCCACCACGCCACACAGAAGAAGCAGCCAGACAGGTGTCATCGCTGCCCTCCTGCGACGACGGGAGGCCATGCAGTTACCTGGCAGCGCCGCCGTCGCTTCGTCGTTACCTCGCCAGACGGCAGGTGGCACTGGTCAAACCGGTGCGGGGATACACCGTCGTCCTGCGAGTCTAGGATCTGTGGCATCGCACTGCGATCGCACTGCAGGATTTGTGGCATCGCCCGTCACGCGGCGCGCTGTCCCGTCGGTGAGTGGTGCGCCACAGGGTGCACTGATGGAAACAACGGGAAAACCGGGTGGTGTTTCCATTCATATTCCGAGAAATATCTCTGGCCTATCGGACGAATTCTGATAATTACGATAAGCCCGCTGAGTGATGTCTGTTGCTGGAAAGGAGATTGCTGGCCTGGCTCCGCACATTGCCTCAGTCACTCGGCGGGCCACCTGCTCAAGGCATGAGTCATGCTTTTATCTTCAAAGATAACTTTGAGAGATCCACATAGATGAAACAAAGAATAGCTCGCAAGCGTTACGGTGATAAGATGTACTGGGTTTAGCTGCTAACGAAGTTCACTGCCACCGGAAAACTACAGGAATAATGTTTTTATTTACAGTTTGTGCTTTAACATCTCTGCGCAGTTCGCAGGTGCAGAAACGTCGCAGCAGTGGTCATAAGTAGCAGAAGCAATTTTTCACAGATGATGTGGGCATCGGCGTTCAGAACGTTTTATGGAAGCGTCTGGAATGTAAGACAACGCATAGAAGGCAACAGACATCCGGACAACAGCTATTGGTAGCTGAACGTCTGTTGACATCGACATGGAAAGCAGGCGGATGATGATTACAGCTAGGCGCCACAAGTTACTTGCCACGGCCGTTGTGTGCCCCTGGGGCATGATCTCTCATGAGCTTGGCCCCAAGATTTTTCGATCAGGGGAAGATCCAGGACTTTGTCATAGGAAATGCCTGGTTTCAGTTCGTTACCCCTGAAATTCCCCTTCCCCGTCCCTCACAAAAAAAAACACTGCACTTAGCCCACCTTTTCGGATTTTTCTTTTCGTCAAAACGCCATGTTCCGCCTGAATATTCCTCTGGATTTAGCCCACTTTTGTATGTTTAGCTTCTTTTGAATAAAAGAGAAGCTTAAAACGATCAGAAGATACAATTAATCGTGCATTTAGATGCAAGTGAATTTAAATTAAGTAGGTATTATATGACTATCAAGACAACAGCGGGTCCGTTTCATTTTACGATGGCTTATTCCCGCATTTCTCTTAAACAATATCATAACAACATCCGACATCCGACAACAACAACAGCACAAACAACATCCGAATATCCACTGGTGCTAGGGGCATTAGTGGATATTCGGATGGGTATAAACGTCCAGTGCTCATAACGTCCATCGGTCAAAACGCCCAGAATCGCAGCATTTAGCGTTCACAACATCCAGTAACCGTCCAATGTCCCTGGACACAATAGAATCAGGAAGTCCAGGCGCGCAGCGTCCCGAACTGCAGCAACCAGAGATCAAAACGTTCAGCGTCCATAAAGTCCAGCATACGTGAGATCCAAAGGATGCGATCTGTACAACTTCCTCGCAACCCTTTACCCAATGGTTCGGGCATTGCCCGACAGAGGGCTACCGTAGTCGATGGCGCCCGTCTCAGCCGACGAGTGACGTCATACTGTACAGTACCGCCCAGTTGAATCACTGTGTATGGGTATGGACAACGTTTTGTTTGAGCACGCAGACTTTGACGCGTGAGCACGCCCTTGGCAGGAGGCGCATTAAAGAATTCAAAACTGTTATCTCTGGCCCGTGACATTGGAAATAGCTGGGTGCTCGGCAGTTGCTGCACAGTAATCGTGGAAAGCACTTGTCGGGGTGCCTGCTGTTTGGTACTGCGGGCTATGGATAAAATTATCCGCGGAATTTGGTTTTGTTATTTACCGTATGTGTTGGTGATGTTTTGCAACTCACTTTAGAAGGCATTGATGACTGATGTGTTAGGCTGACTGATTTGATGACTGCTCTAGTTAGGCCCGCGTGTAGATCTCCAGCTTCTGGCACGCTAACCTATATTGTTAGTGATCCTATTTAGCTGTTTCCCCTCCTTCCCCCAAACGCAAATTCTTTCGCACGCTCCTGCGAATAGGACTTATTCCGAAGTTGATATGTCTTTACTCTCAAAGAAAAGGGAGCTGTCTCATCAGTTGAATCCGGATACTACACCGCTGGTTAAACACGTGCAATGGCACGGCCTACAAACGATTCGTTTCTTCAATGGGCTACTTTTAAATCGGGGACGTAGTTTCCCCTCAAAAAAGTTGGTTGGGTCAGCGATGAAAAAACAACGAAGAGTATGCCAATATGTGATAATAAACCGTAATAACATGCCAACAAATTGCATATTCTCTGCTAATTTGGCTCATTTTTTCACAAATCTGCAGACTGCAGCCCAAGTTACGACGGGGGAAGAAGCCTCTGCGACTGGATAGGGTTGCAACTCCTACTGTTACTCCTAGTTGCAAGTTAATAGGAAGTAGAAGAGCAAACGTTGACTGTGAATGCATTTGACCGCCTGTCAAACGTCATGCGAAACACTAAGCACGTGCCGAGCTTAAATGCGCTGTTGACTCACCACCTGCATAGCGGCTCCGAGTGCTTGTCACTGAGGTGGTTTGCGATACATAAGCTTGATGAATTGGGAGAATCGTGAGTTTGCATTCGCCATCCACTTCATCAACCTTGACACGCTTTCTTCTTTTTATGCTTCAGAACCTCTTTAGTGTAGAATTTGTGGGTCCAGCAGCACCAGTGCGGAGTTTATCGAGCCGAGTGCAGTTCGCGCCGCAGAGGGGCGATGGTGGCATGGTGGTTAGTGGTTAGAGTGCTCATCTCTGGACCTATCTATCCAGGGATGGGGTCCTGGCTGCACCATTACCGCAGCCCACGTACCTTATGCCTGATAAAATACGTAATAGAGGCGTTCCGCCTCGAAATAGCCTTGGCAGCCGGTGAGACGTAAAGCCCCAATCGGTATTACAGCCCGTCCGACAAACAAAACACCGCCCGTTAAATTCGCAGACAACGCTTTCTCCCAATCACCGAATGATGAGGCTGCCCAGCTCGACGGTTAACGCCCGCGGTGGACGGGCGGAGGAGGTAGCTCGGCCGCCATATGAAGAATGCAGCCATGCGGACGTCGTCTCTCGCCCGAGACCGGAGCCCCGCCACACGCGCACGAAGCCTGTCGGTAGGGTAGCCCATCCGCGGTCGAATCACTGCCAGCTCAGTCGGGCACGCCGCCATCTTCGCGCCACAGCCCGAGGCCCCTGACTCGGTTTCACTCGGTTCGCCGCGGTACATATCCCGGCGGACCAGAAATCCAGACATCCCTCCTCCTCCTTCTTGACGGACGCCTTAATGGAAGGGCCTCGTGTCAGTCAAGGGCCAACACCGGACAAGGTCCCTTCGTCCATTTTATTCTAGGGTTCAAATGCGTCGAACTGGGATCCCTGTGCCATTTATTAAACCCGCTACGCCTGGGACCTTTTTGGGTCGGTGAGTGACCCTGCGTCGATCCGGGTTCAGCCATCCCGGTCAGAGGGCTTTCGCCGTCAGGGAACGGACCAATCTATCATGTGTACCAATAGGCAATCAGAAAGGGAAAGGAAAGGCCCTTCTGCCCCAATTGGGAAATGCATGGGGTCTCAAGTCTTGCCTCTATTGGAATCTAGCTGTTGAAGGGGGAGGGGAGAAGAGCGAGGGGTCCAGGAACCTCCTGGGAGGAGCTCTTTTTGGAACCATGGAGTCCAAAAATGGCCATACTGAATGAGAAGAGCAAACAAAATTGCCATATAAGAGTCCAGACAATACCGAAGCAGCGACTAGCATCCCAAGAGGCCCCATCTGATAAACTCGTAGGTCCCTTCTGGCCGCCCAGTCGGGATTTTCTGGCCGTCAGGGGTACACTGGTGTTTAAGTACCCGTACAACTACTTGCAACAACAACAACAACACCCCTGTTACCCTTCAGACTATGGAAACTAAGGGAACCGGGAAACTACTCGGATACCCTGGTCGCTCAGTGGTCGCATTCACCACTCAGGTACCTCCAGTGTCGTACACAGGACATGTGTAGGGGCACATACCCCGCCCTCCCCCGTCCTAGGGTTCCGGGGAAAGACGATCAAAGACCCGATTCATGGCTCTGAAGGGCCCGAAGGTCTCGGCGGAGATCGTATTAGGGATCCCGGCCCTGCGACCCGGGCCCTCAATGCCTATCAGAGGGCGCTATGCGCCGATCGCGAGCCTTCGGAGTCGATGAGGGTCCCTACGTCGATTAGACACTACCAGAACCGAACAGTCCCAAGCAGGGACAAGGCCGGACCCGTGGCTTGTAGTAGTCGGGGCCCCTAAAACAATAAGAGGCACTTTGCTGGAGTGGGCTAGTGTGCTTATCAGTGGGTTCTGTGTTGGCAAGAGCGGAGAGCACCGGAACACTGAGTGTTCTGCGTGTCGCGGATGAACGCTGTTGCCTGTCAATGATGAGCATCTGCAATGTGTAATGTATTATGTCCGCGCTGTGATATGTATGTAGCATGTTTGCGTATAACCGGTATGACAAAAACTGATGTGTGCAGGTGTAGTAAGATCCATGTCAGAATGGGCACGATATAATTTCAAGTTTACAAACGTACTACGATATCCACTTTGTCTTAAAGAGTCATTCCAGGGAATGTCTAACGAAGGATGGAACGTTGAGAAATATAAATAATGTCGGGCCATGCAAAATGGCAATCTATATCTTCTTTGTATCATGAGCTGTGGTGTCATTTTCAAAGCTAGCTAGGAGAAGCGAAAGCTGTTATCAGATTCATGCAGAAAACATCCAAAAAGGTCATCAATGCTAAGAACGCTGTGGTCTTTAAAATGATGATGATGATTTGGGCTTTGAGGTGCACTGACTACGTTGGTCAAATGGCACCCATAACCTACTTTTTGTCTAACAGATGCGTGAAAAAAGCGAGGAGATTAGGCTACGTCCGATATA